GGACAGTTTTTGATCATGTGGTCAGTCTTACCACATTTGTAGCAGCCCTCGTTGGTCTGTTTTTCAGGGACCCTTGGTTTGTTGAAGGTTGCACCTCTTGAAGAACCCTTTCCTCTAATTAGATACTTATTGAAATCCCTTGTGATCATAGCCATTTCATCTTCCTCTAGATCTGCACCTTCAGCTATTCTGAGAGCCAGGCTCCTTTCCTTCTTGGGCGCATCCATCTTCATGGTTTGCCTTATAAGTTCACAGGCAGTGAGATTTCCAATTAGATCGTCCAACTTGAGAGTGGAAATGTTCTTTGATTCCTGAATAACAGTGATTTTGCTTTCCCAAGTAACTGGCAAAACCCTTGTCAAAATTTTCTCAACCTTGTCTTCTTCAAGGATAATCCTTCCAAGAGACTTAAGTTTATTTGTTAGTGTTGTGAACCTTGTGTACATCTCTTGGATGGTTTCTCCTTCCTTCATGGTGAAATTCTCATATTGAGAATACAGCAATGTTCCTCTTGATCTCTTCACTTGAGGAGTTCCTTCGTGAGCCACTTGCAAAGTGTCCCAAATTTCCTTAGCAGTAGTACAACTTTGAATTCTGATGTACTCGTCTGGACCAAGTCCACACATAAGCCATTTCTTGGCCTTAGCATTCTCTTCCCACTTCTTCAAATCCTCAGCAGTGCAGTCATCTCTAGTCTTTGGCACATATACTCCTTCAGCATTCTTCTTCATGGTAGCCAGGGGACCATCAGTAACAATGTCCCAGAGTTCATAGTCCTCTCCGATGATGTGATCTCTCATCCTATTTTTCCACCAGGAGTAGTACTGGCCATTAAAGAGTGGAGGCATAGCAGTGGATTGTCCTTCCCAGTTTCCAGGTGGTGCACTCATCTTGATCTGTTCCTAAGGTGTTAGCCTCTTCAAGGATAACCTGCTCTGATACCAATTGATGTTTTATACTTCAATACCACACAAGAGAGGGGGGTGATTTGTGTGGTGACCAATTTTTCGCTTAAGTTGTTTATGGAAGGACCTGGTTCTTTTACGTGTTCCTTAACCTACTATTGAAGAAGTAATAAATGCGGAAAGTAAAAAACACAAGTATTTTACGTGGAAAACACCTGGCTCAAAAGGTGAAAAAACCACGACCTACTTTCTAATAGGATTTTCCCAAACTCTTCACTAAAATCACTGAGCCAAAAACTGCATTTACAAAAACTCTTTTGTAAACCTAGGACTAACTCTAATTCCGTTGTAGCACACAGCCTCAACTGTTGCAACAACTTCAAGTTAACTCTAACTTTAAAACTCTGAGTACCTAATACACTTGCTTCTAGATAAAGCTGAAAGGTACAATATGAAAACACCTACTACAATTGAACTAGAATAAAAGACAGACACTTAGAACTAGTTCTTCTATCTGGTTCAAGTAGCTTCAGGTTTGCATGCTTGAATCACACACAAATTGCTTGCAAAATTGCCTTGCTATTTTGCTCTTAATTCACGTTTAACTTCTGCTTATGTGTGTTACCTGTAAAAGAGAACAACACTGATATTTATAGAGTTAGTAAATAGAGATTGACTAGAATTCTGATGATGCTCTTCCTTGGTGGAAGAGTTCTAGTTGATCTCAACCTCTAACTCCTTCCCTTTCTTAAACCGTGTTCTCTTTGAGTAAGGAGTCCTTCTCCTTATCCAATATGCAACATTTTCGATTAGGATCGGGAGATATTACTTCTTTCAAGTTAAGTCTATCTCCTTCACATGCATCTCACATGCTCGAGTCTGTTCATATCTATGCTCCACTAAGATGGACCTGGTCCATGTCTGAGTTCCTTTGTCAATCTTCAAAACTAACCTTTACTTGGGCCAACAAAGCCAATTATTGGTTTTTACTCCCTTAAAAGGATTTATAAATAAAAAACAGATGTCAAGATCTTCAAAAACATAGTCAAGATCTGGTTAAACAGATGTCAAGATCTTCAAAAACATAGTCAAGATGTCAAGATCTTCAAAAACATATTGGTTAATATGATGTGTTTTTATGTGTAGGAATGATTCGGGAGCAAATGGGGGCGAAACGCGCGAGATTTGAGCCAAAACGAATGAAACCGGGCAATGTGCGAATTTGGGCGCCACAGGCAGCGCCTGGCGCCACCTGTGGCGCTGAAAATAGTGTGCACAAATAATGGGGCACCGTGGAGGGCGCCTGGCGCCGGGCTGGGCGCCGGTGACGTGAAATGTGTCCTATTTCGCCCGGGACAAGGTTATTTCGGCCCTAGACCTACCCAACACGTATAAAAGCAAGACTAAACTTATTTTTGAAGGGGGAGACGCCACTTTGGAGTAAAAAACACACACGGGATCGTGAGGAAGCAGAGAATTCTCAGTTTTCTTCATGTTTTTCTAGTATTTTCAATTATTCAAAACTTATGCAATTGTTTGATTACATCATGAGTGGCTAAACACCCATTGTTCTGGGGTTGTGATTTAGCCATGAATATTGTTGTTTGATATTAACTTAACCTTGATTATAATTCACCAACATATGGTTGTTTCTTCAATTCTGTGTTTAATTGCGTAATTGTCTGGCCAGCAGTTAGGTTCTATTTACTATCTATGCTATGCTTAGGAAAGCCGTGTTTAGATTAGAGAAGAATTGAAGAGAGCATGATCTTAACCCTTAGGGGGAGCGGATTTGTGGTTAGGATAGGAATATGCCTAGTCACCGTGCTTAATTAAATATCGTGATCTTAATGTGTTCTTAATAGATTGATTTCATAGGAATATAGGCGTTAATCTATTGAGAATAGGTGAGTAGTACTTCGGGAGAAGGCTATGAGCATTTATCGATTAATTAGCAACCATGAGTGAATTATATGAAAGGGAGAGTTAATTAGAACACAATACGTATGGTGAATCGATCACAACCCTGGAATATTTGTCTCTACTGAATACACAACAATCAACTCGTTTCTTGATAATTTAGTTAGTATTTAGAATCGTAGTATAATATAATCATATTATTGAACTTTGATTTTAGCTGGATTAAATAACAATTTTAGTGATTTTGTGAGTAGTTTACACAAGTCTCTGTCGGTTCGACACTCAACTTATCATTATATTACTTGTCGACCACGTATACTTGCGTGTGCGTTTGGGAGCAACAACACTTGTCACAATTATTTTTTGTCGTTTCAAGAATAATTTAAATTATTTCTTTTTCATTTTCATACAACTAACTATTAGTAAAAAAAATATTATTAAGAAAAGATAAAGTTTGTATCATAGATGTGGTTAACAATTAATATACGTATTATATTAACAAAACTTAAATTTGATACACATTAGAGGTCATTGGTAGATTTTGGAGCCTGATGTTTTATACTTCAATACCACACAAGAGGGGGGCTGATTTGTGTGGTGACCAATTTTTCGCTTAAGTTGTTTATGGAAGGACCTGGTTCTTCTACGTGTTCTTTAACCTACTATTGAATAAATAATAAATGCGGAAAGTAAAGAACACAAGTATTTTACGTGGAAAACACCTGGCTCAAAAGGTGAAAAAACCATGACCTACTTTCCAATAGGATTTTTCCAAACTCTCCACTAAAATCACTGAGCCAAAAACTGCATTTACAAAAACTCTTTTGTAAACCTAGGACTAACTCTAATTTCGTTGTAGCACACAGCCTCAACTGTTGCGACAACTTCAAGTTAACTCTAACTTGAAAACTCTGAGTACCTAATACACTTTCTTCTAGATAAAGCTGAAAGGTACAATATGAAAACACCTACTACAATTGAACTAGAATAAAAGACAGATACTTGGAACTGGTTCTTCTATCTGGTTCAAGTAGTTTCAGGTTTGCACACTTAGATCACACACGAATTGCTTACAAAATTGCCTTGCGATTTTGCTCTCAATTCACGTTTAACTTCTGCTTATGTGCGTTACCTGTTAAAGAGAACAACAATGATATTTATAGAGTTAGTAAATAGAGATTAACTAGAATTCTGATGCTACTCTTCCTTGGTGGAAGAGTTCTAGTTGATCTCAACCTCTAACTCCTTCCCTTTCTTAAACCGTGTTCTCTTTGAGTAAGGAGTCCTTCTCCTTATCCAATATGCAACAGTTTCGATTAGGATCGGGAGATATTACTTCTTTCAAGTTAAGTCTATCTCCTTCACATGCATCTCACATGCTCGAGTCTGTTCATATCTATGCTCCACTAAGATGGACCTGGTCCATGTCTGAGTTCCTTTGTCAATCTTCAAAACTAACCTTTACTTGGGCCAACAAAGCCAATTATTGGTTTTTACTCCCTTAAAAGGATTTATAAATAAAAAACAGATGTCAAGATCTTCAAAAACATAGTCTGCATATTATTTACGGTCCATAAGAAATGAAATGGCATACATACAATAGTTCCCTCTGTCTTAAGATTACGAGACATTATTTCCTTTTCTACTCCCTCCGTTTCAATTTATGTGAATCTGTTTGACTGGGCACGGAGTTTAAGAAAAAATGAACACATTTGGAATTTGTGGTTCTAAACAAGTCAAAAAGGGGCCAGAGTATTTGTGTGGTTATAAAATGTTCTCATTAAGGGTAGAATTGTAAGTTTAAGCTAAATTATTTCCAAATTTAGAAAGGAGTCAATTTCTTTTGAACGGACCAAAAAGAAAATAGGTTCACATAAAGTGGAACGGAGGGAGTAATTTGTTTAAAAAGAAAAACACACTTTTATATATGAAAATTTAACTTCAAATATTATTTTATAGTCCAAGTAAGATATTTGATATGTAATTTGTTTCCTCTTTTAATTTATTTATTTTTTAATTTTTTGGTAAGTAAAGATATTTTATTTACCAAGTAAAATAAGAAGGTGCATGATAATTGATAAGTGGACGTGCAAAGTGAAGGGAGGCACGTAGTACGTAAATAATATGTTAGTTATAATTGCGGTTAAAAAAGTTTACATGCGACTTTCTCGTAAAACAGAAAAAATCGTTTCCTCCAAACTCTGTGAAACAGAAGAAAAAAATCAGAGAAGAAAGGGAAATATTCAACCATGAAATTTCTTCTTTCTCCTTCCTTCTTCTTGTTCATTTCCTAAATTCATTTCTTCCAGATTCATTGCTGTCTTTTTCTCCTTAAGGTTTTCGGTACGTAACATTAATTTATATAATTCAAAAAGTTTTCTTGATCTGTTCTTTACAAGCACCATTAATATTTCACGTTCTTGAACTGCAAAAACCGATCTTTTTTAAATTACTGGAAGATACATAAACCATAATAGAATTGTTTCATATGATTAAGAGTGTGTTTGCTATAACCAGAATTTTTTGGGTTAGATGAATTTATATCAAACACACTATACTTGTGTCTTGATGTTCTTTTCGTTTAGGTAATTAATTCCTTTTTCTGATCATAGTTTTTGATTTTGCGATCTTCGTAGGAATACTTTTAATTTAACATGTAAATTATTTCTCCTCGGAGGCATTGGATTTTATGTGGATTTAATAAAAAAGGAGCACTTAAGGAGAATTTGTGGCTTCCATAGTTGAACAACAAAAATGTCGTGCTGTGGAGGTGGAGAAGAAGACGTCTACAGTGGTGGCCAACCATCCAATCAAAATACAGCTCCTCCTAAAGCTGGCAATCCCTATGGTGGTGGTACTGGGGGTGGTATGATCCTACCTTCTCGCTTTTTTGGTTTTTAATTCCATGCAATTTTCATTTGGATTTCATGCATCGACAATCTCCGGATGCAGCATCGGTCCGTAGGTGTAAAACTATGTTGATTTGACATGTTACAGTTGGACGATATAGACCTAGAAGAGCTTCAAGTGCACCGGTCTGTAGGTGTGAAACTACGTTTATTCAATGTGTTGCAATGGGACGGTATAGACCAAATTAAAAGAGCTCTTGATGCACCGGTTCATAGGTGTAAAACTATGTTGATTTCACGTGTTAACATGGGACGATATAGACTTAAAATCGGATGGAAAGCATTTGTTCAGAAAAATCTACGTACAATCTCTTCGAATCCATGCGGACCTAGCGAAAAAATAAGGCACAGTAAGAGAAAAAGATTTATATTCGTGATACGAATTAGTTGAGAAAAAGTTTTGTTCATGTTAATACTTTATTTTAAGTCCTATATTTTTGCTGAGAGTCCTTTCAATGGAAAATATAGAGAACTTCTAGTACTTTTTAATTTTATATTTTTTATGTTGGCCTAATATGAATGTAAAGGATATTGAAGCATGGTCAGTGAGCATTCATATATACCAGACCTCGATTTGTTTGGAACTGAGATTTAATTGTGTTCTTATATTGTTTTCTCAATCATATGGTATTGGGCTAATAGATATAGATCTTTTACCACACCTTCTTTTTTATTTATTTATTTATTTTGTATTGTAGCTAGTGAAAGAGGAGAGCCAAGGAGTGCAGCAAGAGGTGGAGCTCCTCAGAAAGTATTACCAATTGAGGCTCCAGTGTTTACTTTGGATGAACTAACTAGATTAACTGGCAACTTTGGTCAGAAAGCTTTGGTTGGAGAGGGATCTTATGGCCGCGTTTTTTGTGCTAAATTGAGCAATGGTCAGCAAGCAGCAATCAAAAAGTTGGATACTAGTTCTTCACCAGAACCAGATTCTGACTTTGCAGCCCAGGTGAATGAATGGATTTTTTCCATTTTTGATCATTGTTCCATTTAGTAATGATGACATGCATAGCTGGAAAGAATAGAACACTTATAATTGAAATGGTTAACTTATTTCAGTTATCGATGGTTTCAAGACTTAAACATGAGCATTTCATGACTCTCATGGGCTATTGTCTCGAAGGAAACAATCGTATATTGGTATATGAGTTCGCAACAAAGGGCTCTTTACACGATGTATTACATGGTACGTCAAAAATTCAATCATAGTACTTTAATATAGTTGTTGCGCGAATCCTTCTTTCTGTATGTTTATTGCAGCATATAGTTGATTGTTTAGAGTTCCATTGCAGGTAGAAAAGGTGTACAAGGTGCTGAGCCAGGTCCTGTTCTTACCTGGAATCAGAGAGTTAAAATTGCTTATGGTGCAGCAAAAGGCCTCGAATACCTACATGAAAAAGTTCAGCCGCCTGTAGTTCATCGTGATGTCAGATCCAGCAACGTCTTACTCTTTGACGATTTTACAGCAAAAATTGCTGATTTCAACATCTCAAACCAATCTTCAGACACAGCAGCGCGTCTGCATTCCACTAGAGTTTTGGGAACGTTTGGCTACCATGCTCCAGAGTAAGTCCTGCTCATATCGAGTTTTCACATAACTACGATAAAAAGGAAATGATAGTTCCATTAGTCCTATTAACCAAAGGGGTTATGTTTTTTGCTTAGGTATGCCATGACAGGACAGATTACACAGAAAAGTGACGTTTATAGTTTTGGCGTCGTCCTCTTAGAACTCTTGACAGGAAGGAAGCCAGTAGATCATACAATGCCCAAAGGACAACAGAGTCTTGTCACATGGGTAGATTCTTATCCTATGCCACTTTCTTTTTCGTATTTATATATCACTAGTTAGTGAAGATTCATATAACCGACCAAAACTTGTTTGTGATTAAGGCGTAGTTGTTGTATACCATTGGTCTACTGATTTAAACTCAATCTCTTCAGGCAACTCCAAGACTGAGTGAAGACAAAGTGAAGCAGTGTGTTGATCCCAAGCTAAATAATGACTATCCTCCAAAAGCAATTGCAAAGGTTTTCATTCTTTATATTTGCTACAAATTATAACTAGTCTGCTGATTTCCCTTTGTTTGATTCTTCTACTTTTGTTACTTAGTTGGCAGCTGTAGCAGCACTTTGTGTTCAATATGAGGCCGATTTTCGGCCAAATATGACAATTGTTGTCAAAGCACTGCAACCACTTCTCAACTCAAAACCTGCAGGACCAGAGTCTCAAGCATAGTACATTTCTGGTTTGAAACCAGCACAGGGCAATTCTTAGGAGTCTCAACAAGTCTGTGATTCAAGTTATGGTTGCGAGGACCTTGTTGTTATGCTTTCTTTTGACAAAAACTTACTCATAGTCGGTGTTTACGTCAAACTATATTTCCATGGTAAAAAATGAGGAAAAAGTACATGTAGATTAACCATGGATAAGTGATTAAAGTGCATGTACAAGACATATTTCATGTATTCATTGGATTGGTGTAAACATAGTGTAGGTAAGTTTTTTCACTTTCTGATCCAATATGTTTTCATAATGCTCGAAAGAACTTTTGAAATTTTGGGGTTGAATCAAAATTCTCATAGCTAGTTTAGTTGTGAGTTGTGACATGTTACTGGATACAAATATCAGTCCTTCTAAGTTTGGTTAAAATTTACTATTCTGGTGGTGACCTTTACCACTGTTGCAGCAAGTTAGAGTTTGTGCAGCAAATTCTAATATTTGAAGAGCAACAATAATTCATTAGTTTGTTATCTTATCAAACTAAACCATCCACTATTTATATGTTGATATTTTATGCTAAGGATCTTCTCACAATCCAGAGATTATTTGGGTTCCATTAGTAATGAGGATTCAGAATATAATTCAATAAAGAAAAGAAAGATCAATTATTTGGAATATTTTCTTTTTTCGAACGAAACAAAAAGAGATGAACGTGAGAAGCACATAATTAAAATTGAAAATTTTCTTGAAAATCCTACAAGATCCATTAGATCTTTTTTTTATTCTAATAGATGGTTAGAACTTCATCTTGATTGGAATCCTAATAAAAGGTCCATCACTTTAATAAAGAAACAATGAGCTCCAAGAAGCTAAAACGGTTCTCGACACATCAAGGAACCTCAATCAACAACTTCTAACTGTATATCCATAGAAGTAAATAGAACCACATTACTATGAATAAAATTTAAGCTATGTTTGCGTCTTTCACAGATTGAACACTATATTACAAGCATAAAGTCATCATGTATTGCTAAAACATATATTTATATCACATTATATCCCGCATAAAATTAAATACACACCCACATTGTGCAAAATTTCATGTGTAACAACCAGATCCGTCGTTTTGTGCATTTGTACCCTTTCCCCCCATTTGATGCTTCCCTGTAACGACCTGACTGGTCGTTTTGAGTATTGTAGCCCTGTTCCCTGTTTCTTATATGTTCATTTATGGTAATGTGACTTGCCGGGGTGGTTGGTTTGGTTTCACGCAAGTTTCGGGGTGAATTGGGACACTTAGTCCCAAAGTTAAAAGCTTAAATTAGAAGAGTTGACCGGAGTTTGACTTTTGTATATACGACTCCGGATGAAGTTTTGATGGTTCCCATAGTTTCGTATGGTGATTTTAGACTTGGGCGTATGCCCGAATATTGATTTGTAGGTCCGTAGGTCGTTTTGGCTTAAATTTGCAAAAGTTGGAAAGTTGAAGGTTTGGAAGGTTGAGAGGTTGGATCGAGAGTTGACTTTGTTGATACCGTGTTCAGATTTTTGTTCTGGGAATTGGAATAGGTCTGTGTGTCATTTAGAACTTGTGTGCAAAATTTGAGGTCATTCGGAGTTGATTTGGTAAGGTTCGGCATTTGGTTTTAGAAGTTGGAAGCTCATTAGTTCATTGGGCTTGAATTAATGTATGATTCGTGATTTTGGCATTGTTTGATATGATTTGAAGGTTCAAGAAGTTTGTATCGTATTTTAGGACTGGTTGGAGTGTTTGGATGGGGTCCCGGGGGCCCCGGGGGTGTTTTGGATGGTCATCGGACCATGTTTTGGACTTGAGGAGCTGCTGATATCTGGTGTCTAATTTTCTCCTTCGCGATCGGGCGGAGAAGTACGCGATCGCGTAGAGTGTTCTGGGTACCAGGCGAAACGTGCCTCGCGTTCGCGAAGTGGTGACGCGTTCGCGAAGCTTTGGATGGTTGTGGTCATCGCGATCACGAATGCATGGCCGCATTCGCGTAGTAAAGTGGGTTCAACTGAGTTGTCAGGCGTAAGCTAATGCGATCGTGATATATGTTTTGCGTTCGCGTAGTTCTGGAGTGTATGTACATCATGTTCGCGACTCTTGGATCGCATACAACATTTTTGGAGGAGCTGGAAGTTATTCTTCGCGATCGCGTAAGGCAAATCACTAGCAGGTTGTTAAAAACACATTTCGAGGGTTAGAGTTATTATATAACACTTTGAGGTAGATAGAGCTTGATTTTGGGCGATTTTGGAGAGAATTTTCACGATTTGGATCGGGGTAAGTATTTTTGACTCGGATTTGTTCATTTTTCATGATTCCATCTTAGTTTTTATCATTTATATAGTAAATAAAGTGATGAAATGAGAGATATTTGTAAAAACATCCTAAAATGAAAAATGAGGATTTGAAGGTCGATTTGAAGTCGGAATTGGATAATTTTATGATTGGACTAATATCGGAATGTGTGTCTGGATTTTGTAAGTTTAGTCGGGTTCTGAGGTGCGGGCCCGGGGTTGACTTTTTTAGTTGACTCTTTATTTTCTTTAATGGTTATAACTTTATTATCAGAAATTGTTTCTTATGGCTTGTATTTATGGTATTAAGTTATCAGCTGGATTCGAGCCGTCCGGAGTTGGATTTTCATGGAAAAGGCTTGTTAGTGAATTGATTTAGCTTGTTTGAGGAAAGTATCTTGCCTAACTTTGTGTGGGGGAACTACCCCTAAGGACTTCGGTTGATTTGTGTTATTTGGATTATGTGAAAGACGTATACACGAGGTGACGAGTGTGTACATAGGCTTATATTGGTATTTGTCGCGCCCCCTTTTCCTCGCGAAATCGGGTTTATGACATTTGGTATGGGACAACTCGTTCCTTTTGGGAACTGGGTTTTGCATTTGAAGAGTCGCCACCTAATGATTTAAGGTGCATTAGGACACCAATAGGGTTCAATTCTAAGTTTTGTTTGAATAACCAGAGATAGGGTAAGGGCTTGAAATTATCCGAAGGGAAGGTGTTAGGCACCCCTCAGGATCCACTAGTGTGGTTCCCGGCCAGACAGTTGATTGTGAATTTATGCAATTTTAGCAAATAGACAAGGATGGGCTCAAATATTAGGGGGGATTTAAACACATAAGGGACAAAACAATTATAAGAAAGTTTTAAAAGAAGTTTGCAAATAAAGGGAAAGGGGGTCCTAGGTTTATTAAAAAAATGGATCACATCAATGCAATACCCGATAATCACTCCTCAAAAGAGGGACTACACGTGGTATTAGCGCACCGGTCATCATATCCATATCTACCGTTCCCACCCCGTTAGGGTATTAAAGCGCGGATTGGTCTCGATCGCTATTGCATGCTATTACCCGTCCCATTCCTATTAGTCCCGGAGGAATTTAGGACTACTATTCCTAAAGGGGAGGGATATTAGGATGATTTTGGTTTCAAAAGGTAAAAATCTAAGGCGACATACAAAGCAAATAATACTGCATGTTAAGGGAAACATGTAAATAAGTAAAGGCTCATGGATACCTCCTCAAACAAACACATAAATAGCATGACTTGCACATACATTTAAGGTCCGAATAAAAATACAAAAGACGAAGGGAGTTCAATTGTTGAAGCAGACCAGCTTAATACATAACTCAGATAAGAAGTCTGAATCAGGCCTGCCTGCTGGTTGTAGCAATTTCAAAAGGCGGATTCAATTTCATTGTTATTACCCTAAGGCTTGCCTAAGTGTTTGGGTGAGCTTTTAGGAACATAGTATCTACTTACTGATTTAGAAGTGTGGCAAAGTAAATCAACTTTTAAACGAATGGTTTGAGACCCTATAGGCATGCTTGCTAGACCTCGTTAAGTAAGAAAATTAGATTATTTAAAACTGATCAGAATAAGCTAATTTTAAAACAGACTAGTTTCAGATTCTGCAGGCGATGGTATCTACTATTGCTGATTTTAAACCCTATGGACATGATATCTAACATTGAGTGTGAATAGAAACGAACCAGATTTTTTTTTACTTAGTTTGGGAATCCCTATAGGCATGATTTCTACGAAGGGGTACTGATTTTAATGATATCTGATTTTAACCATTTAGATCCTAATAACATGGTATCTAAAATGCAGAATTAAACATGCATAATTGTTGGCCCAAGTAAAGATTAGTTTTGAAGACTGACAAAGGAACTCATGATGAACCAGGTCCATCCAGTGGTCCATCCCTCAGGTGCACAAAAATGGGCAGATTTGAGCATGTGGGTTGCACGTGATGGAGATAAGCTTAACTTGATGTATTTAATATCTCCTAATCGAAAAGGTTGCATAATTGACCCACACCAATGTCGAAGAAAAGTAGAGTAAAGATGATGGCTCATAAGATTGTCGCTGAAGGAGAGCAGATCAAGAAAATAAACAAGCAATTGAAAGCAGGTAGGAAGAAGAATCCTAGAAATCTGAAGATTCATTTAAGTCTGCTACTAAGGGGGAAGAAAGTAGGTCTTTCAAAACTGAACAGGTATCTTTTGATTCTAAAGTTTCTCCTGAGACAATTTCTGAAGTTGCTGCAAATTTAGAGAATGGATTTGTACTGGTAGGATGTATAGCAGGTGTTGAGACTACATAATCTGGAGAAGTTGGTGGTAAAAATGAAAAAAAAGAGCAAGGGCGCTAGGAGTACTGTGAGGGGAAAGGGGACAAGAGTGGCTGATTCTTCACCCACTCCTGTTGGTATAATAAAAACTGGTGCAATGGTTATTTGGGGAGAGGAATTTACTGAAATAGAAGAGAGTGTGAGCAAAACAGGGGGAAGTGGGTCTGGCAAAGCTGCTGAGGGGTTGGTTCAACTTGGGAAAAATATAGATGAACCTGTTCCATCTGAACAGGAAACCCTTGCGGACCTACTGATAGAGTTATCAATGGCACCAAAACTCATGCCATTCCCTATGGTTTCATTCTCACAACTGTGCTTGCACATTTCAAGGTACCTATGAAGAAGTGGGGTTAATACTCTGCTTGCTTGCGATTAAGAAGTCAATGTCATTCTTAATGAACCTGGTTCATCTAAAAAGACACCTATCAATAGCAAAGTTAGAGACTTGGTACAGGAGAGTGAGGCAAAGGATATTGAGATAGCAAGGCTGAAGACACGATTGGTTGAGGTAGAATCTGAGAGAGATGTTCTCAGAACTGAACTTGCAAGGGAAAAGGAGAAGAATGATGGAATTCTTCAAGACATGCTGAAACTTCTCCAAGCAAATAACCCAGCCCCTACCTTTTCCAAGCCTTAAATCTTAGCTAGTGTAGATCAACCAGTGACCCAATTCGGGACTTTTTGTTTCTTTTGCTCATGTTTTCAGTATTTTTAT